TTTTTTTTTTTTTTTTTTTGGCGGTATTGGGGATAAAACTTGGGACCTTGCACTTGCGAGGCAGGCAGTGGCACCACTGAGCTAAATCCCTGGCCTGTGACTGTATGTTTTAACAATCAGTGGGGCTTGGTGGTAATAGCCGTAATCTCAGCACTCTGGGAGGCTGAGGCAGGAGGATCGCAATTTAGTGACACACTGACTTGGAAAAAAAGAAGCTTTAATCATATTCAGTCTATGCTGAGCTTACTCTTCGCTTGGTAAGAATTCACAAACTCCATAAATGAAGCAGATATCAAAATTTAGCTCCTTATGCAGTTATTCTGTATCTGGCAATTTATCTCAGATCTATCTGAACAAATTAGCAAATAAGTAGGTGATTGGTCACTGCAACATCCTTTAACATAAGGAAAGCCTGGAGACTGGAATAGTGGGCAGCAGTGAAAGAACGGGATGGTTATGGGAACAATTACTTTAGAAAGTTAATATAGTATTACTCCAATTTCATACATATTCTAGAATATTTCTGGACAGCTATATGGGAAACATACGTACTAGTTATCTTTGCAGAGCAAGACTATGAGGTAAGAGAATTTTCTTGAGAGGTAAGGGACTTCTCTTTTTCTATCTTTTTGAACTATTTGAATTTGAATTTTGTTGCTATAGTATGTATTACTCTTTTGACTGAAGAAAAAAAAAGTGTAACTAGTTAAAAACAACTGCTTTTTCAGAGTAGACCCTTAAAAGATATCCCCATTTTTAAATGATTAACAGAACCTGCTTGTGAAGGAGGGTGTGTTAAATGGAGAAGAAATAATAGTTGGGTGGATTTAGGCCTCTTGAAAGGATACAACCTAGTAGTTGGTGTGGGATTGACACTTGAGGTTTCTAATTTCTAGTATGAGCTTTAGTTTTTCATTAATAAGTTGTCAAAATGACTAATCATAATTTTTCCTTCCTGCAGCCATTATTTATGACATCTTTTCTATTATACAGCAACACAGGCCATACTGCATTTTACTCCATCCTTTAGGTCTGTTGATTTAAGCGTTTTGGTTTTTTGACATGCATTTTATTACCCTTGGAGATAGTAAAAGATGCGATGAATGCAGACATGCAAACTTAAGGTTTCCACCAAAGGACTTAGAAATTGAAGTTTCTGCCTAGGACCCTACAGTCTAGGGATGTGACTTCACCATATTGTTCTGCTACCACAGATGCTCAGGCCTCCCTTCCATTCTCAGAGTTCCTTCGACATCCTGGTTTCTAAGCTGCTGTGTTACATGACATTAAAAAGGCCGGGAAATGCCCTTTGTCTTTACCTTCCTTTCCCAATTTCTCTTTTCTTCTCTTTCAAAATTTGGAACATTTTTAGCAAACAAGTATGAATTCATTCCTTCTTTCAGCACTTTAATGTGAAAAGTCTTAAGAGACCAGTTTTAGAAGTTTAGAAATACCCATGTGTACTGTTAGACTTTTAAAGTGGTTTATAAAAATTAAATCTATTTTGTAGTTTTTTTAAAGCATACTCAATGGGCTCTATTGAGTACATTCTGAAAGTGAAGATTGCTTAAAAGTGACTGAAATGGTAATGCTTCATTTCTTTTTATAAAGGTTCTCATTGAAAGATTTAAAAAAATTTTTAAAAATTTTAGTTTTTGAGACAGTCTTGCTGTGTTGTTCAAGCTGGCCCTGAACTCACTATGTAGCGCAGGCTGGCCTTGAACTTGCAGGGATCCTCTTGTTTCAGCCTCCCAAGTGCTGGGATTACAGGTGTGCCACCATTCCTGGCTCAAGACTTTGTTTTAAAGAAATGAATATTGAGTTGAAAGCATATGCCTGAGTTGGGGTGTGCTCGGAGCAGGGGGCCTGAAGAATGGCTTTTCTGTTTAAACACTCCCAACAGGAACCTGAGGCCATTGTGAAGAGGGCACAAAATGTGTGGCCCTACTATCCACAAGTGCCTTACATGTGGGAATAACAGAGCCGTGGTGTGCTGGTGCATGCCTGTAATTCCAGTGCTCTGGTGGATTAGGGAGGAAGATTGCAAGTTCAAGTGCAGACGGGGCAACTTTGTGATTTAGTGAGACCTTGTCTCAAAAAAAAAAAAAAATGCTGAGGATGTAGGTTATTGGGAAAGCCGCTAAGTTCAGTCCTCAGTACTGCAGATAAGACAAAGCAAAGCAAAGCAAACCAAATCTGTTATTTTCAGGTGCTGAGACAGGAACATTCTGAGATTGAGGCTGGTCTGGACAATTTGTAAGTTCAAGGCCGGCCTGCATTACACAGCAAGACTGTCTCAAAATAAAAACGAAAAAAAAAAAACTAAGAACAAGAAAATTGTGTCATTTGGACTACCAAATAAGGGAAAATTGACCGAGGGGTCCAACAAAGGATGAACCAGATGTATTAATCCCCAAGCCCCTTTCCAGCTGCAAAACGATGAATAGAAAATTTTAGGCCAGTGGCTGAGCATGTGGCTCAGCGTTACAGGACCTGCTGAGCATGTGCCAGAGGCTGCTGTTTAATTCCTAGTACCATAAAAAAATAAAAAGGAAGACAGTTCTGGCCACTCTTGGATGTCATTCATCTACTTCATCGAACCTGTGTTGGGCTGTGATGAACCAGCAACCAAAGCAGTTTTAGCTGTGAACAGCAGGTGGGGCAGGTGGTCCAGCATTTTCCAGATAGGCGGAATGGGTTTCACACTTTTGCTGTTAATTGAATAACCTGTTTTCTTGGAGGAGTCGTGCCCTGTGATTGCTTCTTAACCTTTTAAACCTGTGTCCTCTTTGGAAAAAACATCAAAATCTTGCTTTTCTTATGGTCAGTAATAAACATATTCACTTTGCTTCTCAAAATATTCACATAACCAAACCCTTTCAACCCTTTGGCCAACTATCTGAGCTGTATATAAGGTCAATCATGTCTATCCAGTTCAGACATTGCTTTAGACTTATGGTTTATTTTAGGCTCTGGGGAGAAAATCAAATCTGCGTAATATTTGTTCTTATCACCAGACCTATTTACCTCATGGTAGTAAGTAGTTGTGTTGCTACTGTGAACTTGGTTGAGGAGGTGAGCACGCCTAACAAGTATTTTCTAGAGTTGTTCATACGCAGAGGCAGGTGCAGCCAGTGTTTGTTTGGAAGAAGTAAAAGACCTAGCAGTGATGGTGAACCTCTTCGAGCTTTCAGTGCTAACAGCCTGTTGTGGCATGCATGCCGTAGGGTTACCACCACTAATACAGTCTCAATTACAAATGGCTTAGAAGCTGATTTTTAATCTCACATCAAGGGAAACAACTCCTAGCAGTAGGATAAAGTGATTTCTTTTATAAGGTGTAATAACAATAGCACATGTATCCTGCAAGTTCTTTTCCCATATATCTATATTTGTAGACTTTTTAGAATATTTTTATATTTACAGAAAAACGGAAAAGCTGTAATAGAGTTCCTGTATACCCTGCACCCTGTCTCTCCTGTTATTAGCGTGTCACAGAAGTACACCACGTTTGTAACAATTCATGAACCCATTGGTACATTAATGAAAGTCCACCCTTTATTCAGATTTCCTAAGATTTTACCTATTGTCCTTTTTCTTCTTTTTTTTGGTACTGGGGATTGAACTCAGGACCTTGCACTTGCGGGGCAGGCAGCGGAACCACTGAGCTCAATCCCTGGCCTCCTAATGTCCTTTTTCTGTCCCAGGATCCTACACTATATTCAGCAATGTTAAACATTCCTCATAAAACATGAAGCACATGTACACTAATGGGAAATGTAACTTAAATATAAGATGAATATTACTCTATAGTTTAAAACTCTGGAACATTTTAAAAGCAGAAAAAATATAAGGTGCTTTAATCTGGACTCCAAAACTGAACATTATTCTGTTAGTCGCCTGAGAGTCTATAAACTTTGAGGACTGCTCTTTGGCATTTTAAAGTCAGCTCCAAATATAAAAAGCACTTAGTTTACCAGGCAAAATCCAGTTCACTGATTATATGTTATATAAAATATATCTTTTAAGAAAAACTGACTTTAGAAAGAATTGTATCATTGATATATAGAACTTCAAAAATTGCTACTCTTAAGAGGAAAAATGTACTATTTTAAAATCTTTCAACATGTCATATTTTATGAATTCAATACTTTATTCTAAACTTTCAGCAAGATATTTTGAAATGGTTCTGAAAGCTAATAACATCTAGTGTGTTAGGGTTAGCATGTCTGAAATGGGTAGCACATTTATTTCCTCTATGAACATCCATTAAAAGTTTTATAATTTTTTTCTATATTTAATTTGATGTAAATATTTAAAACCTCATTTAAATGTGCTACACAGATATTCAATGTCTTTGGCATTAAAATCTGAATACTGCTGCCATACAAAGAATTTTCACAAAAAGCTTCAGAGGTAAAATGAAAACAGTTCTTTTGTTTGGCATCAAGGATGGAGAAAGACGGCCAGATTAAACCTTGAGTTTGTCATGTCTGCATGGATCTGCCATTAGCAAAAAGAGCCAGAAGGAATATAAATGCCTTTGCCAAAGAAATCACTGTCAATTTCAAATGCAGGCTTTCTTTGATGCCCTCAACAGCCTGAAGATGTGTGGAGCTGCTTGCGCGTGTGCTCTCTCCCTCTCTCCCTCTCTCCCTCTCCCCCTCTCCCCCTCTCCCCCTCCCTC